GCGAACGATTATCGATTTTTTCATGTGCACTGCCAGATGTTAACTGTTTTCGGCACATTTACTTTCAGTCTGCGTCTGACGACGACCTGGGGAACCGGCGTCGAAAATTAACGCAATAAAGAACCTTTTCCCAAAGAACGCCTCTGCCTTCAACTTATATTTCTTGGGATGCCTTCCTTCCAATTCAGTATATATATATATAGGTAGACAGACGGAGCTGTCCAAATCCCTATTTACTAACATGCACGCAAGGATACGTGCATATGTTTACATAGAGGGATGAGTGCCTTACATGAGGCATTGTTGAGTGAATAAATGGCCAGCAAGTAAAATGCTGTCGTATCAAGGAATGATCTCCCGATCTCTCCCAGGACGCACTTGGCCGTCTTCGTTATTCCGACCCAACGAGAGGATGGTTTGTGTATGAATATCGTCCACCCACCTAGGCACCTTTCTTCTCTACTGGCTACAGTTCGTGACCTCCAAAAAAAACACTGATATACAAGTTTCATCATCCATTTGCATTTAAATTGCAGTCGAATGACCTGGCATTTGTATAAATTCAGGTTATGGAGCCATTTATCATAACATTGCTGCCTCCTATCCAGGGTATTTTGCAAATGCAGTGCACTCTCGGCTGTTCTCTTTGATTCCTCAAACCGTATTTCCTCGCAGTCCAGTCAATCAGCGCACTCGTTCGGATGTATCAAAAGCAGAATGTGACCCAGACCCTCTCCTGTGTAACCACAACCTGAACAGATTCCATTTCTAGAAAGCGTCACCAATAGAAACGTGATGAGATCTGTCTTTGAGTGGGCTGTCATTCGTGCTCATTTGACGCTGTTCGGACATCAGTCGTCTGTGTGTGTCGACGGCTTTGCTGATGGAGATGCAGCCCGCATCTACTGACAAGCTGACATTTAAAGATTTCTTCAATGTTTTCGTGGACACGAGCAGGCTAGTGAGACAGGACCGACAGTTTCCTAATTCTTGTCGATGCGCAAAAGCAGGCCGTTTACCCCAACACGCCTCGCCGGAGACTTCGTCGATTTTGCGACGAAACCATGAGGGTTTGTGTATTTTTAAAGTATCTTCCCCCGACACCAGGCGCTCGGCATCGTCGGGAGTTTGGCAATAGCGGAGGCTTAAGCCTGCGTTCGCAGTTCGCAGTGACGTGCCCGCCCTCAAGGACTGATAATATTTCATTTGTCCTTATTAATCCTAAATGGTAGTTTTCTGGTTTAATAGGCAAACCCAGGTCTGGGGGGAGTGCAGTGAACACCAATCTATCCATATTGTAGGACGAAATGCGACTGATGAGGTTTCGCTAAAGCGTCTGCGTCCACCGCCTGCTGATGACGGCTGGCATGTCAGGGGCAGTAACTTCATCACAGTCCTATTTGTTTGCAGCACTTGTTAAGTTTGTACAGGTAGTCTCTGAAGATCGTCTGTGTGGGTTTAGTAGACTGAGCTCGAACACGAAGGCGAATTCATTGTATTCTGTCCAGAGGTCAGGATAATGTGACGTACATGAGGACCCCAACATGATCTCTACAATTTCAATTCACATACCTGTTAACCACAGTCGAGTTGGCCGGAGAGGCTGCTGCTGCGGCAACGGCCTGACTCGAGGGCGAACAGCATGCAGGTACAGTTGACGGCGTCATGCATGACGGCTGTGGCGATGGTGTTGCTCTACGTAAAAAGGTAAACAGGGAAATGTAAGAAAAGTAGGCAAACAGCCGTCCATCAGAAATTAACGATTGATGCCAACAAGTGCAGAGGTACGTTGTCTGCTCACTACAACGAGGCGGGTCGGTGGCAACAGCAGAGTGCTGTAATACCCACAGGAGAACTTCTAAATTTGATTCAGTATATATATATATATATATATATATATATATACATAGGGAGATAGACAGAGGCATAGAAAACCCTATTTACTGACATGCGTGCAACGATACGTGTATATATTTACATAGAAAGATGGATGCATTATAACAGGCATTGTTGAGTGAATAGATGGCCCTCAATTAAAATGCTCTCATGTCAAGGAATGATCTCTTATATTTAAGGCAGAATGTGACCCAGACATTCTCCAGTGTAACCACATCCCGAACAGATTCCACTCCGAGAAAGCGTCACCAATACAAACACGCTGAGGTCTGCCTTTGAGACCATCGGCCAAGCCTTTGAAGGGGCTATCAGTCACGCTCATTTGATGGAGATGCACCTCGCATCTACTGACAAGCTGACTTTTTTAGATTTCATCCGACTTTCGGTGAACACGAGCAAGCTAGTGAGACAGGACCGACAGCTTCCTAATTCATGTCGATGCGCAAAAAAGCAGGCTGTTCACCTCGTGAGTTCCGGTTTTATTATTTTCTCTACAAGTTTGCAACAAATTTTCCTGAGACTTTGAGGTTAAAGCTTATTTTATGAGGTTCTCTCTGACTACGTTTTTATGGGGCATTTGTAGGCTAACTTCCAATCCGTGGGCGAGACCTTCGTCTTTACAGAATTTTCAAAGATCTTTTACCGTGAGCAGGCAAGTTTTTCTGCAAGTTAAGTCGTTACGTTTGCGTATACGCCATCCCAAATGTCGATTTTTCGGGCTGCAGCCCTCCCAGAGTGTCCCTTACAGCGTCTTTTATCACCGTCATCGTGATGATTTTATCCCTAATTAGTGCAGGTTATCGATGGAATTTTTCCTTCGATGACGGCTAATCGGTATAAACGGACAAGAAAATTTTCGGCTAACTTATTTCCCTGAGAAT